ACCCTCTTCGGACCTGGCTCCACCCTCTTCGGACCTGGCTCCGCCCCTAATGACAAACATCAGCAGGTTCACCTCCTGTGAGATGTTTAATCTGTGATTTATGAGCTTCCCACCACTAAAGGGTCAGAGGTCAACTGATTATCCTCCTCAGACAGTTAACTCTGTACGTAGCCCTCATGTGACCCCACACTTCTACTAAGGCAGCCATCTTGGTAGGTATCTGTAACTACAGCTGGTATAGAGATGCTATGGTTCGATCTCGACAGCAGCCATCTTGTTGATGCAGCCGTCTCTTGCAGATTGGTCAGGCGTGTTAACATAAAGTCTTTAAATCGTCATGGTTCATCTAAGTTTGCGCTGTGCTGCCTACCAAGATGGCGGCTCAGTGACTTCAGGTTTTATGGGTTTAATGTATGAAACCCTGAGCTGCTTTAACAGCCGTACCGTCTTCCTCCTGCGAGCCTTCCTCCTCCTCCTCCTCTTCCTCACACAGAGGCGTCGTCGTCGCTGTGATTGGTGCAGATTTCCCAGCTGACGCTGAGCTTCCTGTGGGTTTGGTCTGGCTGATGGTTGGAGATGCAGGTGACAGAGGCTCCACACCTGCAGCAGATTAAAGGTGAAGATCAGAAGATTCCTGATTTTCCTGAACCTGGTGGAGATTTTCACCGAGTCTCCAAGTCCGAGTCCAGCCGTCTACAGAGGAAACAGGAAGTACAAGTGAAGAGACCCTCAGATGACCTCTGACCTGCTCCCTCCTTTGCAGCTGGAGCCAACATACAGCTGCTAGAAGCAGCTCATTAATATTAATGTTTGGCCTGACAGCTGCCAGGATTCCCAGCTCCGCTGTCCCAGAGCCTCAGGGCGTCACTGCAGACCCAGTCAACAGGAAAACGGTTCCTCCACCCGGCAGGGAACCGGCGCCGGACGACCCGGCAGCTCAGAACCTGATTTTATGAAGCTGCAGAGAGAGCAGAACGGATGCTGGAACGTTTCCTGCAGCGTTCTGGGGTTTCCTGAAACCAGTGGCATCTACTGGTGAGTTATGACCGTTAAAACCAGCATGATGGGAAAAATGTATTTCTTATTCCATATTCATTCACAGAGTTTCAGTGTTGGATAAACAGTCAGACATTAGATTAGCTCAATTCATTTTTACATCATAAAATGTTTATATAATAACTCTAAAACATTTATTTTAGTTTTATTTGCGTGACTTTCAGCGGTTTTAGCATTTCTTGTTAAAACGTTTACCGGTTCCGTCCAGCAGCGTGTTCCTCAGGGATGCTGTGGTCAGAACCGACGGCGCGGCGCCAGCAGCAGGAATCTGCGTTGCTGTCTGATCCATCCCATAATAAACCCCAGCAGGGCTCCATGGAGACGGCGGCCTGTTTGGGGCCAACTGGACTGGATCTGCAGCAGATTCAGAAGGTTTCAGCTGTAAAATCCAACGATGGGAAGCGATTCGTCATCCTGAGCTGTGAGCTTAACCCCGCCCCTCTCACACTTCAGACCAATCACTGCTCATCAGTCTGACATCAAACCAGGTGACGATCCGGTTCTCAACACCAACAAAACAAAGACAATTGTTGTGGATTTCTCCAGCCTCCTAAACATGGTGAGGAAACGGAGGCTGTTGATGAAATCACACTCCTAAAAACCTGAGATAAATCGTTGGCACCTCCCACCTGGTGAGGAAAGAAGAAACTTTTCCTCCTCAATAAACTCAGAAAATCTAAACTTCCACCCCCGTTCTGCAGGAGGACAGGAGGAAGAATCCTGAGCTGCTGCTTTCAGCTTTTTATTAAAACTAAAAACGAAACGGATCAGATTCTGGTGCAGTTTCACCATTTTACATTCCTGACTCAGTCAGGAGGATCTAGAAACACTTTAATGAACATTTCATCTGTAACAAATACATCCTAACATAAAAGCTACAAAAATGTGACATGTGAATTATAAAAAAGCAACATGAACCTCTGCTCCTTGTTGGAATCAGGAAACATAATATCTGCATTAAAAACAGACTGGTTTCCATGTTTCTCTGGCTCACCGGGGCTCCTGGGGGTCGTTGGGCTCCTGGGGCTCGTTGGGCTGATTTGTGCAGGACTCTGGGTCATCTGATCTTCAGCTTGGTCCTCCCACTCCACTTCTTCTTCTTCTGCTGCCGCCTCTCCCAGGCCTTTGGATGCAGAGATTGGAAACGTCTGAGCCAAGTGAGTCACTCAGTGGGCAGAGAAATGATTTGTGGAGCCATTTGTGGGACCATCAGCTCCAAATGGATTAATTAGCAGCTCAGGAAAAAGATCAAGAAACTAAAAAGCAGGAGATTTAAACGTTACCATTAGAGATCAAACTCTGGTGTTTCAGCTCTGCTGCCTGCTCCTCCCACTGATCTGCAAGAAAACATTTACATGCAATGAAACTTCAGTTTCATATTTTCAGTTTTGTGCGTCTTTTAGAAACAGATTCGGCTTCAGAGGAGCAGGAGAAACTTTTTCATTTAAAATCCGTTTCTGCTGCTCATGTCTGCAAACGTCGCAGCACGGCGCCGTTCCTCTCTGGTCGTACCAGGACCGGTCCGGAGGACGGTTGGTTCTGGTGGTCCGGTGATGAATTCCCCGTCCAGCCCAGCCGGATCAGTTTGGGTTTCCACAGCACCGATCATCGCCCGGTCCAGTTCTGATGGTTCAGAGGATGTAAAAGTCAGAAAGTAGGTTTGATAAAGAACCAAGATTAAAAATGACGTGTTTATTATCATGGTCTTCTGCAGCTGCCACAGAAACCTGAAGATAATCAGGAAGATAATCAATAATCTACAGTTCGTCTGTTTTATATGATGTTTGTTCAACACTTTGGTCACTTTTATCTTTAATGTTTATAAATAAAGTTGGCTTGGTTACTTTTATCATTTCCTTTTATTAATACATTCAATTAATTTTTCCTATAACAATACAACATATTAACCAATTAATATGCTGTATTATTTATCCACATTATATATATTATATTGTATTATATATATTATAACCATAATATATTATGTATATTATGGACAAATATAAATATACAAAGAATGTGACGATAAACTGCCATTACTTTCTGTTATTGAAGTTAAAACGATTTATTTTCTCTAAAATCCTCATAATTAAACAGAATTAAAGTTAATTATTATTATTATTCAGAAGGATAAAGTGTGTGGTATTTTTCCTGTGGATCCAGGATGTTCACCTGCGGGCGGCGGGGCGGCGTTGGACAGCTGCTCTGCTGCTGTGAGAACATCTGGAAAGAGGAAGGATGAGGCCGGTTAGAGTCCAGGCAGGAAATGAGCCAGCAGTTGGACGCTAGCAGGATTTTAAGCTGAGCTCGTCCTTCAGAGGTGGAATAATCGTCGCATTCTGATTGGTTCAAACAGAGGCTTCCTGCGTCAGCTTTCAAAGAGAAAAACTCTGACTGAAGCCTTGAAGACCTCCAGCAGGCTCCACTAACTTTTCTCTGTGAAGTTGACTTCTCCACTTTAATGACCTCCACTTCAACTCAGACTGAGAGCAGCTCAGCCTCTTCCTGCAGCTATATTTAGACACTCTGCTCTGTGATTCAATGATTTTTCTCCTCCCAGATGAACGTGGGCAGGAAGCTGCAGGATGAGACGTCAGGAGGTCGTTGTTTTAATTGGCTGAGGTGTGAATCAGCCGCTTGCTGCGGTCTGACCCTCTCCAAACGTGACGCACCGTCCAGAGACGAGTGGAGGCTCCGTCCTCTCAGCCTCACCTGTTCCATTGACGACGACGTCAGCCTCCGCCACGGCGCCGCCGAGCCAATCTGAAACGAGAACCAGACTAATGACAGATCCCAGCCGCTGACCGGACTCCGACCCGGATCAGGAAGAGAGGAGGAAGATGAGAAAATGAGTCAAGCTGCTGCAGAAACCAGAACCCAATTAACAGAACCAGAATTTGAAAGAGCAGCATCAAACTCAAGTTCAGAAACTAAAACATAAACCATTCAGAAACTTCTGGAACACCAGTGAAACCAGTCAAACATCAGCGTCCAGTGACCAGAAATCTGCAGCTGCCCACTAAGAGTAGAGGTTAAAGGTCAGATGACTTTACCCCTTCTATGCTTATTGTGTCTTTTTCCTCAAACAGCCACAGAGGCGTGTTATTTTCCACAGATGCCAAGTGATGCATATTCTACACATACTGAGGATCATATTGTAGCAATTTGCTGCCATCTAATGGTTGGAACCTAATCTGACTTCTTGCAATCTAAATACATAAATCAATATTTGTAGTTTGTAAAATTAAACAGTAAAAGATTTTACTGCAGTTTGGGTTATTTAGCCTGTCAAAGAAAAAAAAAGATTCATTTTTCTAAGTTATTCATTTATAAATGTCATAGTTTGACGCTAAATATGTTTAGTTTGAAGCGGTTTAGCTAAATATTAATTAGCTAACCAAATATTGTATTTAGCTCGTGAACTAAATACTTACTTTGGAGCCAAATATTTGGTTAGCCAAGCTATATATTTAGTTCAAAACTATATATTAATCTTGCTAACTAAATGTTTATCTCAAATCTAAATATTTAGTTTGTCTCCAAACTAGAGCTAAACTTGCTAGCTCTATGTAGCCAGTTAGCTAGCTAAATATTTAGATTGGTAATTTTTGACTATAATTTAAAAACAAACCGTGACATCGTGGTAACATCCAAACTAATTCCAATCTCAGTTTAGCATCTACTTGAAGAAAAAAACACTTAAAATCATCATTGTTAATAAATGAAACCAGTTTACGGACGAGTCTGTGGCTGGAAACCAGTTTATTTAAGATCAACCAATTTTACCACCAACGGGTCAAATATAACGTCAGATGTACCTTGATAAGAGATTTCCAATAATAATAATATAAATATTAATAATTATCCGAACAGTTTGCTGTAAAACGGATGTAACCGATCCAACCCACCTGTAGCATTTCCAGCGGAGCAGGCGGCCTCCGTCAGGCCCCTCAGACTCGGGTTGCAGCGGCTCCGCGTCAAGCAGTCGATGGCGGCTCGGTCGCATCCACAAAGCCTCTGCTGACACGGGTCGCCAACGTCTGCAGGAGAAAGAGGAACCATGAACCCAAATCCTCACGAAGGATTTCCAGGTTCTGTTCAGTCTGAGACTCACCGCAGCTGCTGGTTTCTGCGGAGCAGGAGAAGTTATACGGAGGCGGAGGCAGCCGCTGCCTGCAGGGGGCAGCACTCTGGTAGCACTGCCTGTGAGCTGCACAGCAGCTGCAGCAGAAGAAAACAACAAAAAAACATGAGATTTACTTAAACCTGACAGCATTTTATATCTAACCAGAGGCAGAGAACCCAAAAATTACACTCAATTAAAAGTAGCAATACTTCAACGTATTTTTACTCAAGAGTAAAAGAGTATTTGGTAAAAGGTTT